GGATGGGTAATTATATCTAATGAAATTCTTTACTAGAGGAAACAAAAGACTTGGGCAGACTAACAAGTAGAGGCGCTAGTCAAAGCATGGAAGTCTCACAGAATCATCCCCAAAGTGACTGAACTGCTACGGATATTTTTCAACTGCTCGTTTTATGTTTGTTCTGTTTATTGTCAAATTATTTTTAAATATTTAATTCGTTCTCTTTTTACAATAATATTTTCAAAAATTTTCCTTTCATACAAATTCACGATTTTTAAATATAAGCCAGACATGCTATATTTATCAACGCGGTAATGATAGATAAATTTATTATCATAAAAGCAATAAACTGTAATTGGATCAAGTGGATATTTTAATGCTTCTAGAATGAGCACAAAGATTTTATAAATTCTAAAATAATTTAATTTTGAAGTGCTAAAATGTTAAATTTAAAACTTAAAATACCATGAATGCTGTTAAAAAGAAACAATTTGTCACATAAAATATAAAATAATTTTATTATTTCATAGTTCTTATTGTAAGAAAATTAATTTTTTTTTTATTCCTATTTTAAGAATTTTCAATAAACCGTTTAGTTTTAAATAATGTTTCAAATAGATTATTGATTTAAAGAAGAAATTAATTAAACGTTGAAAATACAGACATATAATTACCATGGAACTCTGATTGTGAATGTAATTAAGAATGGCGGAGTGAAAGACACAAACAGGTAGCAGTGGGCATTAAACGGAATTGGCTTCGACAACAGGTATTTCTCTGCTCTTGGTGTTGGCAGATTTGTTCGTCTGATTGCTGAGAGCGAGTCAAATCGATTTGGTCTTGGCACTGCCCGCTGCGTGTTTTTCCTCCCTCCGTTCCAATCAATCAAGCAAAGCTCTCTGAAGGCTGAATATTAAATCAAGGCTGCGGAATCAACTTTGCAACCAACTTTGATTGCAAGGCGAGCGTCGAGCAAGAGAAAAGGAACGAGTTGAATCTTTAATCAAACACAAAGAAAGAGAGAGGATGGTATCAAAATTGCACAAGTGATCTTGCTTGAGCAGTGACTTGAAGAGCTTTTGCATGAATAATTGCCGATCAACGCGCGGACAGAACAAAAATCACAAATCGCACAATGGCTGCTAATTTCAAAGTGAGCGATAGTGTGCGGCGGCGGCGGCGTATTTGATTGATTGACCTTTTTGTTTCAGAAATTCGGGGCAAATCCATCACGGGCAAACGCTTTTCGCAGCCCAGTGATTTCCATTGTGCGCACATTTGCATCGACGTTCCACTCTCTCATTATCAGTTGGACGTGGCCAGGGCGGGTTTCGCTCTCCCTTATGACTTAATGCCTCTCTGCGGCCCGAATATCTCTGTCGCAAACCGCTGGTGGAAAATTGCTCGGCCAATTGACGTGAGCATCGGCGGGTGGCACGCACTCTGCGGGAAAGGCTCGCTCCGCACTTTACGATTCGCTCCGTCCGCATTAAAGCAGCAAAATCCCAGGACTGCGGTCGTAATTTCTGGCCAAAACGCAAATGTTGCTCAATTCCCTGAGCCAGTTGTCAAATTTGCATCGCCGGTCCTTTGTTTTCAATGTTCATCCGGGTCCCTGCGTCTAATCTCAAGAAAACAAGCAGCATAAATTTTGTTTCAATTGATTTAAAGTGTTGTTTTAAACATTCGTCTAAAACAATAAATATATTGAATTACAAAATATATATACATACACAGTTCTCAATTACCTTCTAGTTATTTTTATTCTTATTGTTAGCGTCAGTCAATCAATAAATTTAAAAAAAGTAAAATACTAAATGCATTTATATCTAAAGAAATATTATTTCGTTCAAATATGTCTTGCCCTTTGTTCTTAACTATTTTGTCACGTTAATAATTTTTAATTGTGCAAGTTAAATGAATAAATTACATCAAATTTTTCCGTTGTTTCCCGAGTAATGTTTTAGGAGCGATGGAAACTTCAAATTCAACATGATTTTGATGTTTCATTTAAAAAAGTAATTAATTATTAAAATTTATTCAATTTGCTGAATTTGTAAAAATTAAATTTTACAAAATAGTTCTTGGCTCAAAAAATAAATACAAACAAATTAGAAGAGATGGAATTGAAATTCTATGAGAGTAAAAGGAAATTGCGCCAACACCATTTCCCAATTTTTCAGACACGATAACGGCTGTACGAGTTAATGGGCCGTGGCTGTGCAGCTCCTCCGTGCGAGACTATTACGCTTTCTATGGGGCGAAACCTTGCTGTCCTAGCTACCTATATAATGGATGAAGTCCGCTTAATTCCCCAATCAGGTTGTGCAAAGCTCTTGAGGATTTTCCACAGACGCGGAGACCACAAAAGCGCCCCAGCATCAACAACAACAACAAAAGCTTCTGAGGTAGAGGAATATTACGAACGCGCCTTTGAAATTGGCGAAATTGCCCACGGGAGAGAGGAGCTCCTTGCGCCACTCTTGAGAAGTCAAATGACTGATGATTTCTCACCAAAGGATTGTCTGCTAATTGCGGCGCAGATATGTGAAAGGGGACGTTCCAGTCGGTCCCGTAGAGGTTAAACCACCGGCATTTATCACTTGTCTGATTAGCATGCCGGTCCGTCTGTGCCTCAAAGGACTCTGTGCCAGCCGAGCTGCGCCATTCACTCAACTTTGTTGTTTGCTGTCGTGGACAGAGTCGCATATATAAATCTTTCCTGAAGAGAGTTTGCAGAGTGACGTTTAGTCTCGAGAAGCTCATTTGTGATTAAAGGCATTGAAGAAACTTAAATAATGAATTTTCACGAAACATGACAGACAAGGTGAAGTGAAAAATGTGCAAAAAATTATATTATTAAAATTTTATCAATTGATAATTTTTTAATTTTTTTTTTTAATTAAAAGGCACGCCTTAAAATAATTTTGCAAAGTAAAATTATAATAACAATTTCAAAGTTGATTTTATTGGATTTTATATGGAATAGAAATTATCACACACAAAGTATTAATTATTTTCCTTCAAAAACTTACATAAATAGAACAAAAAAATGTTGGATTAAGAACCACTTTCCGGAATCCCATATATTATTCTTAGTTACAGACTATTGCACTCTGACGGGTCTAAACTTATTTATTCAAAATGAGTCGTTCAATCTTCGAAAAAGAATAAAATTTTTTATTATTGAAACATTGCCATAATTTCCATTTTTCATTTTTTTTCTTTTTATAATTTCGTTGCTGGTCATTAATAACATAATTAGTCACTCATTTAAAGTCTTTCCAGAACATGCAGAAGGAGAAGGAATTTTTTTTTTCGAATTTCCATCGCTTTAAAGAGAATGAGTAGAAGAGTTTGTTTATATCTGTTGGCAAACGCTTCAACATTCCAGGTATATAAATTTTTAATTGAAAATGCTTTTGCGTCTGACATATGAAAGCGATAAAAACTGTATGTATAGCCCTTGTAAAAAATAAATCTGCAAACACAAATTAACCCTCTTTTGATGTTTGCATTTGAGTGGTTAGTAAACACGAAATTTTTAAAACGGAAATTTCATTGCGCTAATGAGAACGACCTCCCTAAAACATTTGATTTTTCACTCCGAAATGTTGCCAAAATCCTAATCAAAGGTTTCCTTTGCCGATATTTACTGCCTCTCTCGACAAAGCTCTTTCGTTGCAGATTGAAAAAAGCCGCTTTTAGGCAAGGCCATGAAGGCCAAAGTTGCTATCAAACAGAGAGGAAAGTAAAAAAAAAGGAACGCCCCAATCTTTTGGCGGGTGTTGCACCGTTATTGGGCCATAATTTTCAAACGGCCTGCCATTAGCCGCTAACGCTAATTTATCGAAGCAAACACTGGCCGAGAATTTATCCGCTCAAGAGAGATAGATAATGCGACCCTAGTGAAGGCTCGGCCGTTCGTGTCATCTGCTTTAAAGTGGCCGTAAACTGTCCTCTGCTCCGCCGCAGATTCACCGTTGGCGTATTTTATTATTCTGCCCGGGGATTTACCTGGCAAAAATGTCATTCCGTCCGTCTGCCGGCATCATTAATGCATCAAATCATCGACACGCCGTTGGCTTAAATAAATATTAGACGTGGCAGATACGACAGCACCGACGCGGGTTTATGTTTTGCCAATGCCATGTCAGGGGATGGTAGATTTTGGGAAAATTGGGAAACTGAGTACCTGCAGTAACATAACATAAATAACAAATAAAATAAAAAACACACATTTTTGACCAAAACATAAAATGCTACTGAAAGTTGGATGGAATTTTGGTAATGTTATGTTACCTTTGCCAGTTTTCCATGAAAATTTTTTCACCATTTTTCATATTGGGGGATATTCAAAAGTTAATTTAGTACTTACAATTCCAATAAGTTAACTTAGTACAAATATCCCCCAATATTTTAAATCCAACTCCACTCTGAATTAAACAAATCTAACATCGTAGTTCACAGAACGCTATTAAATAGATCATATTATATACCAATTCAATTTTGGAAACATTCTAATTTTCGTGAGCTCCAAAATAGCAACCCCTACAAATAGAAAAACCATTGGTAAAGATTTTGTTTTAATTTTGTCCACTTTCTGGTTATGCAACCCGCTCATCAAACCTGTGCACCAGGTTGCTCACCAATTTAATGAATTAAACGCACCTCCACATCGAGAACAATCAGTTATGCTGACCAAGAAGGCAAAACTACCAATAGTGATAGTGGTTGATGCAAAACAAAAATCACAATGCCGAGAACATAGAACTAATGAATTAAGTATTAACAATGTTATGACAAATTACAATATAATCTAATCGCTTTGATCTCTACTTAACTGAACTGGAACGTGCTAAAAACAGTCGTTTAAAGATGAAATGAAAAGCCCCAAAAATAAACTCGAAACAGAATTTTTTTATTACATTTAAATACTTAAATTGATAACTGTAATCCAAAGTATGATTTATTTATTTGCATATTTTAATAATAAGGAATTTTCCGATTTGTTGCAGGAATAGCCTGAAAAATGGCCTCTAGTCGCATGGCCGTGGCAGCTGCCCTGGCGCTGGCCACCTCGACAGTGCGGGCGCTGCGCACGATGGACCAACAGTCGGACAATTGGCTCAGCAGCAGCAGCAGCTGCGATAACTCGACGACCAACAGCACGATTTCGTCTGTTTGCTCCAACGACACCTTTGGGAATTTCACGTCGCTCGATGGAAACTCAACTCGGGGTGCTCCAGCCGAGCCCGACTCGCTCACTGACGTCATCTTTATGGCCGTCACTTCAGTCATCCTCGGCCTCATGATCTTAATAACAGTAATAGGTGAGTTTTCCTTTTTTTACTCCGCCAAGTACCACGCTTTTCCCGCCATTTTTCTCCCACCGCTGGATATTTATGACCGCAATTCCGAGGGTCCTGTCGACAGTAATTTCAGCCGGTTTTGGGTTATTGCGGGTCTTGGGCCGAGTTATTGCCGACAGTGAATAAGGGCGGAAGTAAATTTGGAATCTCGGATACTCTGCTCTAAATAACATTGGATATTTTTTTACTATCCGAAAATACCGAGTTATTCCGGATTGAAATGTCCTTCCTTTTGGTGCACACGTGCACCTAATTCAGGCCAATAACTCAGCGCGAACAAAGCGTTCGACGGCCGACTAAACTGCTGAAACGAAGCGCAAATAATGCGCGCGGCATTTATCATAGGACGCAAACGTGTCGCGCATGAATTCGTGTGACCCATAAATAAGAATGAAAATAAAAATACACGACAAGCTTTTGCGTCGGGCTGCGCTGCTGTGATACCACGCGGGTTGGTTCAAATCACGCCTCTCTACGTGAGCGCACGAATTGCGGAAGAGCAACGTGCAATCTCTTTTTTCTGTGCCACACTAAATCTCAGTTTGTTCTCAACGAACTCTGAAGGCCGTGTAGCTGCAGTTCATACAAAGAAAATCGTGCCATTTCAATAAGGTAGAATATTGAGTAATAATTAAAAAAATCTTTCCAAAGTTTACGAAGAAACCTAACTATAATTTTTATTGATTTATATGAAAGCAATAACATTTCATTCATAATTTTAAAATAAATCACATTAGTATCATGTCATATGCGGTTAATATTTAGTTCATGAATTGAAAATAAGTTAATTATCATGAGAGGAATTATATGATGGATTAAAATATGAATTATCAATATGATGAGAAAATGAAATCACTTAAAAATCCGTTTTAACTTCGCATTATAATAAAATTATTATTCTTATTCCAAAATCTGAACCGGACCGACAAATTAAAATTTTAAAATATTTGAAAATAAAATATTCCCAACAATTCCCAAATTATTTAAATGGATAGATTGATATGCACAGATGATTATACTTTGAAATAATCTACGTCTTCACAGCACTAGCCACTAATACAGCAAAATTAAACTTTTCGTTAATTTACAAACCATCAGAGCTTTCAACTTTTGGCCTTGATACTCTTGGCATAAGCTTAATTCACTTTAAAAAAATTAAGTGCCTATCATGATAACTTTCTGTATAAGTCAATCAAATCAAGTACTTTTTCTCCTTTAATGGGTAAATTGAAGCTCAGATTTTTATATTCTCGCTGTGAGAGAAATCACAGAGATAATAATTTAATAATAGGAATGGAAAGAACTCTAAGAACTGGCGCTAATGCGCGTCTATTGATTCTCGCGGCATAAATGCATTTCCACACAAATGACGACCGACCCTATTGACAGAGGCCTATATACATATAGACGAGCCAGGCGGAGTAATTATCGGACACAATGGAAATTCAGTGGCCTGGAATTCAAACATCATAATTCAATAACGGGGGACGCGCTGTGTGTGACTTATTGGGGCTCTACGCCGTCAGATTGAGCACGAATCGGCAGAATAGAATTCATGACATTATGCCACGCCGCAGCCGGACCGATCCGAGCTATTTCTGGCGTCCCAGAGAAAATGGGTCGAGGCAGAATTAATTCGCCGCCGCCATTGTTTCCCGGCGTTAATCTGCTCTTTTTGCCACACGTCATGGATCGCACAGTCTCTCTTACGCGGATTTGTATTGTCACGCCTTTTATTGGGCGCAATTTATCACAGACTGAAAAATGGTCTGCGGCGCTAAGCCGGGGAATTTGTCGGCTTACACCTTGGAATTGTTCATAATACCCATGTACGGTTGCCGCCGCCACTCGTGTTGCCGAACATTGCGTTTGTTGCACTGCCGAATTGATTATAGCCTCTCTCGTGGTTTATTTATTTGTTACTCCAGTCATGACGAGCATCCGATTGAATAGCATGTTGTTATTGTTTTGAGGCGGTGTGAAATTGGTTGATATTGGAGCTAAATTAGCATTCAGTATTGATTGTTGTGGTCAAATACAATATGTTTGCACCTCTGTGGTTGGTAATAAATTCAATATTAATTAAAATACAACAGGATATTTATATTATCTTAAATGTCCCAAATAAAATAAATTTGTAAAATGCCAGAAAAATAACTAATACCAACCAATTTCATTAATTCAATTAAATTTATTGCAACGGGAAAGATAAATAATCAGTGTAAATTCTATATTTTTAAGCCTTTGCTATACAGAAAATAAGTTCATACTTTTTTTTTCATTAGAATTATTAATATCTAAAATTTTCAATCTAGGCTAATATTCATTGAAGAAGCAGAAGCTTTATTTTGAACTCTTGAGTGTCTACACTGCAGAAAAAAACTTTTAACAAATATTTCGATCAATTTAAAATTGAATTAAGCTACATTGATTAATTTTAACATTTTTAAATATTGCCATCAAATCTGTAACATATAAATTCAATTATAACCAACGCGTATTTAAAAATATAAAATATCTTTTTCTTTTAAATATGTCAGAATTTGTAATTTTCATTAAGTTTCACTCAACTGCCTTACCACAAACTTCCACTCCATCCTTTAAACACAGACGCCACCACAGTCAATTTCCTTTAGGAATGGAAAGAATAGGAAACAATTAAGTTTGCTCTCCGCTTGCTTCAAAAGTTAAATCAGCACGCAGCTGACGCTCTTTCGCAAGTTTGGATCTGCGAAAAACTTTGGCGGAGCAGATCCGTTTTCGAAGCAGCAATTCCACTTCAAGTGCAATTTTTCCGACTGCTGCGAAACTGACTGTGCGAAAAACCAAACAAAATACAAAACACCTTTCTTTCGCGCGCTGACTTTGCTGGGGAAAAGCAATAGAGAACAGTTTTTACTTTTTTCTCCTACGTGACTTTGCAGCAGAGAACGAAAACTAACCACATTCCCCTGTGATGTTGTTACCAGGCAATGTGTTCGTGATCGCTGCCATTCTATTGGAACGTCACCTGCAGAGCGTGGCCAACTATTTGATTGTGTCGCTCGCCGTCGCCGATCTGATGGTGGCCTGCCTGGTCATGCCTCTGGGCGCCGTGTATGAGGTAAGTGTCGATCAAAGTCAGCTTTGCCCCTCCTTGTGTGTATGTACATTTAATTGCATGTACTTTAATTACCATAGAATTAAGGCACACAATCATTTCACTTCTGCAGTTATCCATATATATTTAAATTTCGCGTTCAATAAAATATATGAAAGCACTGATTTTTCGAAAGCATTGATCAGTATACTTGAAAAGATTTTTCCTTTATAATTTCTACTAATTTGCGTATATTTAATTTTTCAATCCAAGGAATTCAATAAGAGTGACTTTTATAAAAAAAAAATAGATGTCTGAAAATTATTATTCTTTAAATCTTTAAATAAACCCCGGCCATCTCCCATTTAATAAGTAAATGTAAATAATTACTCCTTTTAAACAAATCTCTATAAGAAGAGATCAGCGATTTGAGAAATATTATTTAAAAAAAAAAATGTTACTAAAAAAATTTAATTTGAATGCTATTTCAAAGCTTATCAGTAGCAACATGATTTTAGATAAATATAATTATACTTTAATCTTTATTAACCGTTCTGGATAACAAAATCATTGTGGTTACATAACGTTTTATAGTTTATTGAAGTCATTTAACAACGTGGATTCAGAAGAATTTTTCCAAGGAGAAATTGTAAATTGAGCATTATAAAAAGCGAGATTTCACTTTTTCTAATTTTTCAAAATCACTTTCACTTAAATATTGCCAAATCACTTCAATTCCGTAAGAGGCCATCGGGGCAAATTTCGAATCGAACAGTTTTTCGCACAATCGATAGACAATTTTCGCTAATCTCCGTACATATTCATCGCGGTAAGTGCTTTTTCATTTCTCTGTAAAGTTAATTAAAACCAATAATCAATAATTTTTTAGCAAATTTATTTTTGATTATTTTCATTGAACTAATTTCTTATTGATTATTAAATAACTTTTTTATTAACATCAATCAGATCGATTTGAGTAATCTCAATCTTTTGTTCGGCCAAACATCAAATCTCCTCCACTTCAATAAAATCCAATCATCAAAGAATAAGCGCACATATTCAAATTTCCCTCTTTGTGTCGGCACAGCCAGTATTCATCTATTTCCATTCAAAATACACCAAGAGCACTCAGTGCTCGCACATTCAGAGAAAATTGCCATCGTTTCCAGCTGGCAAAGGAATCAATTCTGTTCATTTCCTTTTCATGGTGCGCACATTAATGGACGCAATCCAGCAGAAGAGATTTATTTCTTGGCAGCATTCTTTGACCACTTCCTTGGATACACACACGAATTTCGAGCTCTCTGAATGTATTCTCCGTGTGCGTCTGCGGGGAGAGTTAGTTGGTTTACTTTTGTGCCCAATACGTCAGGAAAATTGATGTCCATATTCTGGAAACTGTTGCACGCGGCGGCGGCTTAATCAAATTCCTGACACGCTCCATTTCAGCGTGATTAATGAGCTCGATTAAACTTGCCTCCCTTCCAGGCCGATTTATAATTACAAAATAAGCCGCATATCGGCGTTTGCAATCCCAGCGAGGGAAAGAGAGCGAGAAAGCAAGAAAGAAAAAGTGCGAGATTTGTGTGACTGCTCGAGGCCTGCCTCCTTCATGTTTCCGTTTCCCGCGCGTGACGTCACTGACCCGCGGCACAGGGATGGAATTTATTCAACGAGAGCACACTAGGCAACCCCTTCAGCCCAGTCCTTTGTACGCGCGTTAATACAATAATATTTTCTGGTCTGCTGCCGGCTATCCGCGTTTCTCCACTGTCAGGTTGAATGTCACGAAGGAACTGCCGTCACCAGCAGCCACCGCGAGCTTTTATTTATTTATATTTATCCCTATCTGACGGCGCTTTGCTCGCAGCTAAACGGGTGAATATATCCACAAGAGGGCAAAACGCTAGATGCCACTTCAATTTCCGCGCCCAGTCGGCCGTCGCCATCGTGTGTGGGCGCCCCCAATCTTCGCCTTGCTTATCACCGTGCAAAATTCAATTACGTCTCGGCCCGTTTCGCCTTTGGCCTCCTCATTTTATTAATATCCGATCATTGTGCATTCACATAACGGTGCAAATTTACTCTCGACCTGGCGAGCGAGCAAAGCAAATTTCGCCCAAATTGATTATGTTTTAACATACCAAGCGTACACTTATTATTGGGCTGTAAACAGCTAGATTATTGGAACAGTATTATTAGGGCCCTCTGCAAACATTGATCGCGTGGGAGGCTTTGATAAAACCATGGAAATTTGGAAATTATATAGGCTTGTGCTCATTCCAATTTCATTACTTTGTTATAATCAAATGCTTCCAAAGAATTATATTTAAAATTGTGCCAACCTAGTTTTTCATTTTATCAGTTGCGTTTTTTTTTTTTTTTTTTTTTGAAGAGAATTTTTAATATTTAGTTTGTGGAAGAATTTCACGAGTTTAAACATAAGAACATCTATTGCACATAATTAATTATTTACAAAAGTGCATATTTTTTTTTTTTATTAATATACCAACTTTTTGTCAACATACGTGGACGAATTTATAATTAAATAACAAAATTTTTTCACATTATGATAAAACAATAACAAATATGATATTCTTGGAATTCAAACCAGGATTTTGTTACAATTTCTATTGTGATTTATTTTAGTTTATGGGCCTGGAAAAGTTATTGATCATTTTTATTAAAAAGAAGAAAAAAAAATGCATTTTAATAATTCAGACACTTATTTTGGTTCGTGTCTTATTCATTGCGATTGCTTTATTAGATGAAAACTTGTGTTACGTAAATTTAATTTTTAAATGCGCGATACGGTTTTCCTTATTTCGGGTTCACAATCAGATTGTAAGGGTATCACATGCATGTACCACGTATGTAGCTTTCTATTACCCCAATCCCTTGCTCGCTTCTCGTATATGTAGGATCAAGAGCGAACGTATTGCACTAGACGTAGAAACAAACGCAACTCTCAGCGAAATAAAATCACGAAGCAGCGTAAAGGCGGTCGTTGCGAGAAAAAAAACTTTGGCTGAGGGCGTGCATTACTCTCTTCTGGAAAAGGGCAGTCGGCAGCTCAGAGAGATTTTTCTGTCGCAACCCCACGTAGTGTGAGAGAAACCACTCGTCGTCGGCGGCGCTTTGCCATTGGAATTGGTAATGACTGAAAAAGTTAGCGCAATCAGCAAGAAAACCTTTTAGCGGAATGCCTTTTTTGAAATACAAATTTCTCTCGGCAGCAAACCCATTCTCTTTATATCTCACAGAGGAAAAAAACTGGCCGTCCCCGCACGTCCGTGTGGTATGGAAATTAAAAACTTCTTTCGTTCATTTGCGCCGAGAGTGGAAAATCCATTACGATGGGCCATGCATTTTTAAATACGAATTAAAACTTTTGATGAAATTTCGTGGAATATATAGCGGCCAAGAAATAAACGTGCGCGCACTGAAACGTAGGATGCTGGTTTCCGTAAGCACTCCTTTGTTACTATTCGTTTTTGTTTTCGGGTCGGTCGGACACTCATTTGGAGGAGCCACGTGTCGTTGGGGAACATGTTCTCGCCATAGAGGGCCTGCAGAAAATGTGTTGCCATTTTATCTCGTGTGAATACTCCAGGGAATAATAGCAACCGAAAGTCTCTAATGGCAGCCGAAGCGAAGGCACGCTTCTAACAAAGCGCCACCGGGAGAGATGCAAAGATACAATTAATTCTACAACAGCAGCCTCCCGTGCATGTAAAGCTGGCGCTGCCAGAGCCTCTTTAATAGTTAATTTTTGCTCGATGTGCCTTGAAAGCTTTGCCAGATTTGATGCGCCACCGCTCTTCTAGGCACTTCCTGATAACATTAGACGCACAAGTGCGAGTTATCAAAGGGAAATTTTGCTCTTAATCAATTTCCTACTCTACTGCTGCCTATAATTATAAATTTTCAATTTCTTAGTAATTATGCTGCGTTTGAGACTTCTCAAAACGCTAATTCAAATGAAATCCTATAGCCTTCGCTAACATAAATTATGCTGAAATATTCTTAACCCATGATTCGCATTTCTCTAATTCCAATGGACAGATTTATCAAGAATTGTTAGTGAATATTGTTATTGAATATTATTTTTGAAGGGAAAATTTTTCTCTTTTTCTAATTGTATTTTTTAAATATCTAGAGTAGCAAAAAATTTAGCAATTATAAAATTAGGTTTTGTTCAAAACTTGCAGTAAAATTAAAAATTATAAATCATGTTGTTTTAACACTTTTAATATTATATTAACTTTTAAAACTTAGTGCATGTTGAAAATTTTTTTAAATATTTTATAAATTTGCATTGCATTTTACTTAATAATTAGTTAAAAAAAAATAGCTGAAATTTTAGCATCTACATCAATTTTTTATTTATATATTATGAATTATTATTCTTGTTTATTTTTTAATTATTTATATTATTATTGTGGTTCGGAACTTAGAGAACTTCTGCGCTTCCATGATGAAATATTAATGTCATTTTTTTATTAAGTTTAATGCAATATAATCTCATATTTTATAATTGTCTAACGCAATGAAAAGTGTGAGGGAATAATTTAAATATTATTGTGTTTCACTTCAACTCTGGCTATCCATATTATGCTTCACTCTCACCAGCGCTAACAAAATTCCAAAAGTCGTATATATTAACGACTCCCTGTTTTGCAGCCGCACAAACAACTTTAATTCTCAAGTGGACCACCTTGAATAAGAGGCGTTATTTTGAATTCCCTTCCTTTTCCCTTATCTTCTCCCCTTAATGTTGCAAAATTACATACTTTAAACGCGCCTCTCCTGTTCATATTTATTTTTATTTCTCGGCATGCAATTTTCACTAAGTGTGGCGGAAGTGGTCCAGCGTAGGGTAGAATATAGCCTGATTTCGTGAGAAAATCTGTGAATTATACAGCAAATTCTTTAACGACGATTAATGTGCGTGACAACGTCAAAGTTGTTCTTATCGTCTGGGCGGAAAAGCAGCCGGCGAACGGGGAATTAATCAACAGAGA